ATTAAAAATGCAGATTTTAGATTTCTGTTAAGAGGGCTAAAAATAAACTTTCGGTAATGGAATGTAAATCATTCAACTGTTAAATAACTGATTTGGCAAAAATAAAGATTTCCTAACTTCTTTGGAACAAAGTTATAAACCGTATATAATTTTCCCCCTAAAATGAGGGCGTTGCATTCTTTTTATTGTGAGTATATACTAATGTAAATATTTTGTACTGATAATAAAATACAATTGTTGCCATAATAAATACTCTTGATATTTACATTTGCAAATGTTTCCTTTTATGTAACACAATTGAAAAAGGCGGTTTTATTTCTCTGTAAAACACGTTCGTCATGTGACCATAAATTCATTATTTGGCCATAAGCGATCTACGTAATTCATAGTGACGTCATAAGTGATCGACGTGTTCAACACATTCAATTTGGAGATTTGAAAAAAATAAATCTTTAATGGATTTAAAACGTTAAGTACCTTATTATTTGTAATAAATCGATCACAAATGTAAATTAAGTAATATGGTAGATTCCACCCATTCTCAATATAAGGGCTCAAATAATGCCGCCTCATTTTCATTTAGAAGAAATATCACTGATGTAATTTTCAAATCAACATTATAAATAGTCATATAACAATGAATAAGAATTCATATAATTATCGATCTGAAAGGGTATTTAAGGAGTTCCAAATTCAAATATAGTAGCCTATTTGAAATGTACGTTACTGTCGCCGAGGCAAATATTATGCTGAATACCCTCTGTGTAATATATAGTTTTGATTCTCAAGTAAAAAATTTCTGATAAGCTAAACCCTGTATCATATATAATTCTTTTCATAACATTAAATACATTTTCTTTGTGATAATAAATAATTTTTATTGTGCAATGTCCCTGTCGCTTAATTCTATTTCAACCACATTACAAGCAAACACAAAGATTATACACCTGATAGTTTTGTTCTCCTTTATTTATTGATGGGCTAAATTTGAAATTTGAGAGGATGAATAACTCCTACTTAGATAATGTAACATGAAATTGAACAATTTGAGCAACTTTTATAAATATGTTTACGGAATGAAAGACATTTTCAATCGTAGAGATAAGAAAGAAATGTACGTTACCTATATTCTTCCATTAAGAATATATATTAAGTAGAAAATATGAGACGACTCTGAGTAAGCAACCCCTTGTATCCTGTAAACTGGCAAAGACGGTTTGCTTGACACAATTAAAAATTATTTTTTACATGAAAAGTGATCATTTGAAATGTACGTTACTGAAATGTACGTTACCATGAAATTCGAATTAAGTGAATCTCGCACGAATTATCATGTATTTTCATACTTTCACACACTCGAATGTGTACACAAAGGAAAGTTTCAAAGGTTGGAGGTCGGTTAAATCCAAAAATTAATGAAAAGAAACGTTTCTGCTGAGGAAAACAAAATATATTAAGGTCAATTATATGTAATATAATTTTGATACCTGGTATATATTTCTGAATACGAAACCTGTATGATGCATTTCTTATGATATGCAAGTTCAAATAGTATCAATATACTGCGTGTCTAACGTACGCTTGTGGAAGAGAATTGATTTTTATATTTGAAATGTACGTTACGTATGGTAACGTACATTTTGCGCATTTCTAACTGACATTTTTTTAAATTTAGTCAATGATTTGCGTTTACACGAGCGAAACAAAATTATCGTTACAATCCATTTGACAACTGACCACATAAATCCATCTAAATGTACCCCCGAAATCCTCGTAAATGAGGTAGATTATTACCACATGCTAGAAAATTTATTTCTAAGTGTCTTAAATTCATCTTTAGCAACCTTTTTGCAGTTTGTTTACTTTTAATTAATTTGCGCCTTTTCGTCAATATTAATTTAATTGTTGTTGATAATTTAAAACAAGATATGCATAGGGTTATAATTGGTAAAAAAAACAAAACAAAACAAAAAAAAAAAGAAAAGAAAAAGAAACAAAACAAATAAACCCAGAACACAAGACGGCCACGTACATTTCAAATACTGAAAGGCACACACTACTCAGTTTTGTTTGAATCATTGCATTTTGGGTCATATTTTTCCAGATCTGCTGAAAAGTACGCATGTTTGTGTTTTGTCAAACGATGTTGCAACATACTAAATGAAATTGTTATCTAGACTGTCGATGGATATATTCGAAATAGATTTATGTTAAGTTTCAATGGCCAAACACAAGCATTTGTTAGATCATAGCAAACTACGTCTGACTCTTATTTTTTTGTCTGTACCCTTGCACACAGGTAGAAGTAACTAGGCTACGACCGTTGACAATTTCAGCGAAACAGCACAAAAGAATGGTAATGAACTGAGATGGAGGGGACTCCCCAATTTTATGTGAAATGAACGTTACCGAAGTGACGTGACATTCCTGTAGTTGATGACAAATAACCACGTTTGTTACATTATGATTTCTTATATTACTGCGTTAAAACGCTTCATTGAAATGATTTTTATGTCAATAATTGCTTTTTTTTTCAATAATCTTTCTTATTACTAATTTACATATTATTACAAGCTTGAAATGTACGTTACCTACTCATATTCCGAGGCAATCGTGTCTTTATAGTGGTGATTGTGACATATAACACAATGTGATTACATAGAGAATCTCTTTTGGAATAAACTGAAACAAAACGATGAATTTTTAGATGAATTTTAAGCTTTTTATTAAACAGAAATATATCTTGAAATGTACGTTACATTTACGTAGTTGTCTAAATCGGCATGGATAAATGTTAAAAAAGACAGTAACTACAAAATAGAATTTTATTACATGTACGTGTTAAGTTCCACTATCTATAGAAAATGACAAGATTACAAACTGATCGCTCTAAACAAAACAGAGAGAAGAATTTAAAGCATATATTTAAAAAAGTTTTGATACATCTGGATCAAAAAGTAACCTTTGTTTTTTGAAAGGAAAAATCAAACGCACGTTCGTATGCCGAGAAAATATGTTGTTGACAGAGTTGGTAGGATGTTCTGGTGTTAAGATGAGATATTCCAATTGTGATTTTAATGACTACATTTTTTTTACATATCTTATTGGACAATGAAGAAAGAGTAACGTACATTTCAAGCTACATTTCTGAATAAAATCACCCTCTACTTTACCGTCTTGTCATTATTCCATGTATTAAAATTTGACGAAAAAAACCTGGAAACAAAATCTTCAGATACTTTCTTTCAAAAGTAATTGATAGAAAAATTGTTATCTTGAACTTCATGTTTTAAAAAATCAGAGAGGCATTTGTGCCCTTATATTGAGAATGGTTGATCATTTTTTGCGTTTCATTGAGACGTAAAAGGGGTTGGCACGTGATAAAGTCTTCCATAAAGCCCTTTGAGCTATATTGAATTTGATCAAGCGATCAACCCGTTCTACATCCCAATAAAACTAAAAAATGATACCTTATTTCTTCATTATTAAAATTCTTTGTTTGATAAGTCACTTATGTGGCTCTCTAAAATACAATAGGTTTCTTGGTTAATAAGATGTTGTTATAAAACGCGAAGTACTTTTATTGATGAGGAAAGTGTTTGATATTTAAGAGGTTTTTTCATACGATCATTTTTGTTACAGTGGTATCGTGGAATTTTCAAAATTGCTTTTATAACATGTAGCGATGATAGGACAGATAATACAAACATTTTTTTTTGGGGGGGGGGGGACTCAATATCATGTCAAAGGTATAGAAAGGTGGATAATTCTTAGAATCTTTTATCCTAAGACTTGAAAAGGAAATGGACATTGAAAATATTAGTAATACTTACTGTATTTTACATGACAAATATGGACAAAACACACTCAGTAAAGGTTTACAGATGACAACAAATTTTAGAATATGTTACCTTGGAGCTAAAAATGTAAAATAAACTTTATAAAACTATACAAGCCAGGTTAATCTTATGAGGAAAAGTAGTATGATAAAAATTCAGAGAAATCACCATTTTCACCATTTTGCTTTTTCCCATAAAATTCACCTGGCTTCATATATTTTCCTTAAGTTTAGATTACACTTTTAGCACTAAACTAACATATTCTGAAATTTATTCATGTATAAATATAAAAAATATTTACTTTTCTAAACCTTTGACATGATATTAAGTCTCTTCCAAGAAAAATTGTTTGCATCATCTGTCCTTATTTAGACATCAACAACATTTCTCCGTAAAACTCATTCTGAATCTATGCAAACATACTTATTGACGGCATTTGAAACCACCACTGGAAATCAGTCTGCATTTCATGACCTAAATCTGTAATTTCCCTCGTCCCATCTCTTATGTTTCGGAGGTCCGCCTTTGCTCTGCATTGTTTTACGACGGATTTTTCCATTATTTCCTGATCATAACAAGGAGCACACGGCGGGTGTGACAGGTCAGCAGGTGATGCACACTCCTCCATCGCACCTGATCCCATCCCTGATGTTTCGTATGTCCGTTGTTTGCTATGCTCATATTTTGCATTGTTTTATGGACTTTGAGATTGAATGCTCATTTTTGTTGCTACTTAAATTCCGGGATTATTTATTGTTCGTTATCTTTTTACACTGCATTCACCTGAAAAAGCTATTTCAGGATTCAAACTGCTCTGGACAAGACATGCCGAGCAGATCACAACAAAAATATAACATTGTATAGCAATAATACTTTAATAAAGCAAACGAAATCAAATAAAATAAGTTGACAAATTCAAACAATAAATGATGCTTTATTAGAACTAACGAAAAATATATTCCTCTGATTTTGTGAAACACACAAAAAAGCGGTAAGTGATGGCAGTTGATGAAAGAAATAAACCTTCTAAGAGCAATTTAATTAACATCATATACTAAAGGGTTCTACTTTAATCACTGAGAGTATCGCCTCACATGTTTCCTTGTCTCATTAAGAACTCTTTTGTACTTAAACAATTCAGCTCCCTCACTTTTTTGGACCTTAATCACTTCTCGTCGTGTCTTCTCTAAAAATGACATGCCCTGTTTGTCTATTACAGAATAGATCACTCTGAATCTCACTCTGACATTGAGGTCCACTCCAGATCTTATAAGTATCCTTATTAACATCAGCACCAGCCTCTAACAAAATTTTCAGTGCATTTATATGTCCTCCACCACAAGCTGCTGTCAGTGGTGAATCATTCTTACATCTTAAATTTACATCAGCTTTAGCTTTTAACAGCTTCTTTACAACATTAATATGTCCACCCTTCAATGCTGCTGTAAGTGGTGTATCATAGTTACCATGTATATTGACATCAGTCCCCGCCTCTAACAGCTCCTTAACTACATTGACATGTCCATTCACACATGCTACTATTAATGGCGTTTGTTCACAGTCTTGTATATTGACATCTGCCCCCGCCTTGAGCAGTTCCTTTACTATACTCGTATGTCCACCTTTACATGCCTCTGTTAGTGGTGTATCAAATTTATTTTGTGGATTGATTTCAGCCCCCGCTCCTAACAGCTCCTTTACTACTGTCATGTGCCCATTTTTACATGCTGAGCTCAGTGGCGTATCGAACGGACCTTGTATATTGACATCAGCACCTGCCTTTAACAAATCCTTTACTAAAATTACATTTCCACCCTTACATGCAGCCGTCAGTGGTGTATTTGACTGACCTTGTCGATTGACATCTGATCCTGCCTCTAACAGCTCCATTACGACATTCATATGACCACCCTCACATGCCACTATCAATGGGGTATCAAAGTTACCTTGACCTTGAGGATTGACATTAGCACCGGCCTCTAACAGCTCCTTTACAACACACAAATGGCCACTTTTACATGCTGCTGTTAGTGGTGCATAAATATTATCTTGACCTTGAGGATTAACATCAGCACCAGCTTCTATCAGCTCCTTTACTATACTCACATGTCCATTTTCACATGATGCTGATAGTGGTGATAGTGGTGTATGACTATACCCTGTATCCTGTATATTGACATCGGCCCCCGCTTTAAGCAGTTCCTTGACTACACTCATATGTCCACTTTCACATGATGCTATCAGTGATTCATCATATTCACTCTCTGAAATATCAGCGGCGCATGCTTTAAGCAGCTCTTTCACAACACTGATATGTCCTCCTATGCATGCAACTGTCAGTGGACTTTTATATTTATTTGATATGACATCAGCCCCCGCCTCCAACAGCTCTTTCACTACTTGGATATGTCCACCTTCACATGCTGCTATCAGTGGAGTATCAAACTTACCTTGTAAATTAACATCAGCCCCTACCTCTAGCAGTTCCTTTACTATGCTCTCATGTCCACATGAACATGCTGCAATTAGCGGAGTAAAAATCCAAATACCATCGTCTAAATATCGCAGTTCTGTGTTAACTATAGATCTATTGATATGTTTTATAATCATTCTAAAAGTCTCTAAATTACCACTGAAACAACTCAACACAAGCAAGCGATATTGTTCGGAAATGGACAGGTTATTGTCCTGTTTCTGATTCCTTGAACCACTGAGAGATTTCAGTAAGCATAAATCATCTGCATCCGTTTTTGTTTCTATTTTCTCTTCCCCCTGTTTTGCTACATAGCAAACCCCCGTGTTAAAACAAATCCAAAATAATTCAGACTTTGTTTCGTTGTGCAATTGAGTTTGTTTTAAAATATATCTAAAAATCTGATAATGTCCGTAGTAAACAACCCAACTGATAACCCTAATACTGAATACGGATTCTTTCAATTTTCTCACGTTTTTCCCGTTCAGCAGTACTTCCTGTATACGCCATTCTTTGCTCCACACATTCCTTTCCATACACTCCAAGCCATCCCTTCTCACTCGTCCTGCCTTGCTAACAACCATAGATACGTCTTTTTGAGCTGACAGAAATAACAATTTTAACTCTGTGTAAGACTTCGTCTTTAACACCTCGATAAAAAACCGACACACCTTTGACTCTTTCAAAATCTTATTCATAAAAACATCATAAAGTTCCAAATTTTCTACGTCTTTGAACAAACGTTCTGCTAACATCGGATATTATTTCTCCTTTAATCTTATACAGAGATCATTGAAAGCTTTGTCATTACTGATTTCACTGCTGACTGAACCATTCTCTTCTTCTGGTTTACTTTCTCTAGCAGTTGATTTATTCTCAAAAGCTTGTTTATTCCCAAAGCCTATCTCATATTTTTTACATTTCTGAATTTTCACTTTGTTAGCAACATAGCTGCTGCTGATATATTGCAATATAAGGTTTGGATATTGACTGCCAAAGTGATACGCAATGATTTCAAATATTGAGTCATGGATAAAGTTATATTCATTACCACGGAGATGCATGTATGTTCCTTCCATGGCTTTTAATGCATTGTCAAATTTGTATGCATCTGTGTAACTCTCAACTTCACAGTTTTCAAGAACATCTGATTTCATATCATGAAACGCTGTGTTTTCCGTGTTTTTCAATATTTCCTTGGACAACTTTTTGTCATTGAACATGCATAAGACCAAAGTAGCATAATATAACTTGTTTTGGTGCTGCATTTTGTCTAATTCCTCCAAAATGCATTCAACTGGACACGTAAAGAACCTTTCAGCATTGTTTCGAAATTTCTCCTCTTTTGAATATAGTTTACACAAGAGGGGAAACATACCTGAGGAGTCTCTCAGCAATGAATCAGGTAGTAATTTATCATCTAAACCATGTTTCAGAAGAATTCTTTTCTTGTCATCAACAGTTAATGAATTTTCAGAGCTATGCAGCATAACTGCAGTTTTCTCATGCGTTAAAAACGATTTGTAACTGTGACATTCATTAAATACTGTTTCCCTACATGACATCAGTACTTTTGTGTCTTTGTTAGACGGATTTGAAATTTGAATTTCATACTCCATTAATAGATTTAATTTTTGTTTTTGAAGACCTAATACGCCTACTACATCGTCAATGACAAAAACCTGTGGTTTCAGCGAATCACAATAATCTTCAATTTTTCTTATATCAATAATTGGTACAATCTCATATCCTTCCTTCTGGAGTATCAGGGATATATGTTGAATCGTCGCCGATTTTCCTGATCCTGGGATTCCAACAAAAGTCAAATAAGGTCGCTCTCTGACTTTATCAAGCATTTCTTCGAAGTTATGCGTTTTGCTGAAGACCTTGTCTTCTTCTACCCATTGTTGAATTTGTTTTTCATGGTTATCTACATAAAAGCAATGGGTTATTCATGATTATTTTTGTTTTTTTCTTTATTTTGTCCAGACTGATTGTCATTATGACTTGAAAACATAACTTTGAAAAATTACACGTGATGGGTTGTTAGACCAAGATATGGATAGTGTATCAATATTTTTAACCCCAGTATAAAAATGAAAAGACAATCTTGGTCATTTCGAGATCCAGAATCTATGAATCAGCAATGCTTATATTTCCAAAGTATAGAATTTTGAAGATCATTATGACTTCGAACCTTTTTAACTCAAACAAAATCGTAAAACAGTATTTGATCTGTCCCTCATTTTACATAAAATGCGTCATAAAAGCGAAATTCCTAACATCGAATTCAATACATTAAAAACTTGTTCCCACCAAAGACCAGAGATAGACCAACTAGGCAACTTTTACAATTATTAAGATTGAAGATGCTACACGTATGCACTTAAATGACTTTAAACCCGGGTTAGGGTTAGGGTTAGGTTAGCCTAGGTTAACCCTAACCCATACCCGTCAAAAATGACAATATGACCCCCTCCCCCGGAGCCAGGAATTTGAGACTTAGTTGAGATAAATGTGAGCCAAATTTTCAATATCTGATGAAGAAAAGAAACCATTTCGCTTGTTAGAAATTAGTTTACTGAATTTCGTCCAATAAGTAATGAATTGATAGATGAGAAGCTAAGTTCAGCCTTGAGTGTTTGTTAGAGGGGTCTAGACTTGGATTCATGACTATATTATATATAACGTTCATAATAATCATGCAAAACATTCCTAATAAAGGTCATGGACTCCACTTGAGGTAATTTCAATGTTCAACAATTTCTAAAATTATACATTGACTTCTTTACCATGTTTAATTCTAAATGTATAATGGTATTCCTCTGGAAAGAAAAAAAGCTATAAGTCTAGAGGAAAGCTTTGGAGATTTAAATACATACCCTTTACATTTGGAGGGATGACGCTCTTTGGTGTCTTGATTTCATCTATAGAAATAGTGTACAAAATTGTAACATGTTAGGAATGTAAATATGATGTTGTGTTTATATCATTTATTTCCTTTGTTTCTTAATTTTAAATTTGACTTCACTGTCACAATTTACCAATGATGATAATATATCACATTGCATTCATTGCTTTGCATATGTAATTTGTATGAAAACAAATCATAGTTTGCTCTGTCACCTTTTTTAATTTGACAATAATTATTATTGTGGATTTTTTTGGTGGACTGATTAAGAATAATTTTCCTTTTTCAACATTTCTATATAGTTTATAATTTGATAATTTCAGTAGGTTGTTTTACGTGAATTACGTCCCGTTCGACAATTTTTCTCTCGTAAATGACGTCACCATATACTGATGAAGCGCTTCAAATTCAAATACTTGATACAGGTTATGAATATCTAAAGTTTAATCTAATAAAATGATTATTCTATTCCTGCTATTCCATGAAGGGACTCTTTTCTGAAACTACATGATTTGCAGGGGAAAAAATCGAAATATAAATTTTGAGTTTAATAAGATTTGCCCTTGAGCTCAAAAGCATACCCTAGTTAAAATCCTTTTTGTCATTGATACTTTTTAATTAATCCTGCATTAAGAGTTATTCCATTGCTTGAATGAATTAAGCGGGAATATTTCATTATACATCAACAAAAACTCACCAAGAATTCTTTGCATTTCATTTTGTTTTTCAACTCGATCAGCATCACTTTTCTCTATCTTTTCTGAAACAAGAAAGGTTTTTTTTTTTAAAAAAAGGCACATTAATTCATTTAAATCAGTATGGAGCTAAATTTAATTGTTTTATTTTACAATACGTTTCTGAAATTACTTTGTAAGTCATGCACTATTTCTTTTGTCGGTGCATCTTCCTCTATCTGTTTCTTCAGTTCTTCTATGAAATGCTGATCACCGACAGGGTCCATTGTCTCTTGTTTGATAACATCCACCTGACTTTTGAAAAGATTTCCGTTGTTAAGAAAAGAATCAAGGTCCACAACTGCTGATCTGACAGTGGACCAGATTCTGTTGAAATCAGCATCGGAGAGGACTGAACTTGATGAAATTACACACTGATTTCTGGCTGTATGGATGCGTTCAATGCTGGCAGAGAGAGATCTATCGGCAGGGTCTGGTGCATTTCCCCAGCCTGTGCTATGTGGTGGTATGCTGCAAATGTTTCTAAGTAGGATGTACAATAAAGAAATGTCCATATCACTATAGTTTCCAGTATAACTACTTCCTCTAGGTAAAATAAGATTCATCTGGGGTGCGGTCAGACGTGGAAGGTCACTTGTTTTACGTAGAATTACATGTTGAAATGATGACGGCGGTACAAAATGACGGAAAACATCCCTAAACTGATCTGTACAAGGACCCAGGAGAAGTCGACAGGCTCGACAGGCATTTGTTGGCTCCTCTGTAGACGAGTAAGGAGAGGCTGCCATGGAAGTTATTTATTGCCTCTCTGAAAGAACATTCAAATGAAATATAAACTGTTATTATGGAAGAAATCTTACATGTAAGAGGTTTTCTTCATTGAAAGTCCTCGGGGCTAAGTCATATTGCTATTCAAATGGGCCCACGGACATTGATGGCCACCGGGGGTAATATTTTCCTGCTAAATCTCATTAAATGATGCCCACCTTTCATTTAAATATAATGGCAGTATATAATATGCCATTATTTCAAAACAGTAGAATTAAAAAAAATCTTGTTATCATGAAATTGACCTTCTTGTCCGAAAACCAATTTTTGCCCAGATCTGGAATTCTTGATCACTAAAGGCGGTCTGTGAGGTTGTATTTTTTCTGCAACAGCTGCTTCCGTTCATTCCAGTAACAACAAACAAAGAAAGCATTTTATTGTTTAAATAAATCTCACTAGTGCAAGGGCATAACCAAATTAAATTTCCAAGTTTAGTATATAAATATTTTCAACACGCAATGTAGTTTCTAAAATGTGCTGCGATCCTGTCTAAATTCAGCAATTTCATTGTTAAAATTATACTTGTATGACCAAATGCTATATTTTTTTGCTGGTCAACGGCATGGAATATTGATATAATTAAATTGTTTTTAAGATTTCATCAGGATCGCAGCACTTTTCAGATACCTTAATAGTTCTATAGTTGAAATGTAAAAGCTTACTTTGATCCATAGAGTGTATGCCATTGCGCTAGATCGATTTATTAAGACACCCTACATTACCCTCCGATGTACTTGCATACAAATATACGGCAGTGTCAATTAAATACGTAATGTACAGGAAATACATTAATAAAATAGTGAAGAAGACATTAAATTGAAGTTATTGAATATCTGTAAATAATATTTTATTTAATTAGAGAATACATATTTTGTCGCATATCTGCGGTGATTTTCTTTGATCTTTCTGTGGTGATATATCCCATATCACATATGCGATAATACTTTCCACGCCCCTTCATATATCACTGCAGGAGGCAGAAATCAGGTCATGAGCAAAAAACTGATTTTATTTCACAAGTTCATAACTACAAAAAATGAATATGTTAAGCTATTTTTTTAGCCTTTAACGAAATTAACATACATGTATTTAACTCGGTTGAAAGTTTCCTGTCGTTCAAAAGATTAATCCATTTTAAATTTTTGAAAGTTACGATAAAATCTCCAAACTCTATATCGTTAAACTCCTTGATATTTGCTTCAGAATCTGTGATTTCATAATTGTCGCATATCTGCGGTGATTTTCTTTGATCTTTCTGTTGTGATATATCCCATATCACATATGCGATAATACTTTCCACGCCCCTTCATATATCACTGCAGGAAGCAGAAATCAGGTCATGAGAAAAAAACTGATTTTATTTCACAAGTTCATAACCACAGAAAAATGAACATGTATAGCTATTTCTTAGCCTTTAACTAATTCATAATACATGTACTGGAGTATTTAACTCGGTTGAAAGTTCCCAGTCGTTCAAAAGATTAATCCATTTGGAAAATATGAAAGTTACGGTAAAATCTCCAAACTTTTTTATCGTTAAACTCTTTGCTATTTGTTTCCGTGATTTCACATATGTCGAGTGCCTGGTTCAAAAATAAATTGTCAAAATCTTCAAACTCGTTTTAAAAAACCCAAAGTCAAATTCACCAAGAACGTCCGACATGTTGGAGAGCTAGCTTGAAATGAATCTTTTTTTTTATTATTGAATTTTGACACTCTCAATGAAATTTACGTCATCAGACATGCGACAAGTTGCTTACATCATAGATGCCTCGTACTATTGGTTATATCGTTTTCATGGGGCGTGGAAATCTCGGGCGCTCCGCGCCCTCGATTTCCACGCCCCATGAAAACGATATAATCAATACTACTCGGCTTCTATGATGTAACCTATACTTGTCGAGTGCCTGGATCAAAAATAAATTGTCAAAATCTTCAAACTCAGTTAAAAAGTCGAAGACAAATCACTAAGAACGTCCGACATGTTGGAGAGCTAGCTTGAAATGAATCTTAAAGGTACTTAGACACAGATTTGAAGTCAATATTTTCTGTATAATATCACGACTTATTTAGTGTAATAGCATTTCACACAAAAATATATTTAAAATCTTATTACATTTTAAAGTTATTAAAACTTTAAAGTTTTTGGCGGGTTTGATTGACACATCCTTGCACTTTCACAAATTTTAACTTTATTCTTAATCCGTAGGAAAATTGGCAATCTTGTTGTGTATTAATGCGAAATATTAAAACTTAAATCCAGAAAAATAATTTTATTCAGAGTAGAAATGTTATAAAGCAAAACTCCTTTAAAAATATCGTCATTCCGTTGTGTACAGGGTTTAGCAAATCGACCACACTCTTGTTATGTACACAGTTTTTGTAAACAGGGCAAGAGCTCTGTTATTGTTTGGTGTTTACGATTCACCGGGTGCGTTAAATCGCCAAAGTCTGTTCACCACAACTGCACGGACTGACAATAAATTGTGTGTTTGTTTTGCTTTCAAACATGTATACTCTGATTTTTCTGGATTATAGTATTAATATTTTTCATTAATACACAACCAGATTGCCACTTTTCCTTTAGGATTAAGAATAAAGTTAAAATTTGTGAAAGTGCAAGGATGTGTCAATCAAACCCGCTAAAAAATTTAAAGTTTTAATAGCTTTTAAATGAAATAAAATTTTTTGATTAATTTTTGTGTGAAATGCTATTAAAATATATAAGTCGTAATATTATAGAGAAAATATGAACTTAAAGTCTGTGTCCAAGTACCTTTAAGTTCATTACACGCTGAAATTTTTTTTAAATCAAATTTTGACCCTTTCAATGAAATTGACGTCATCAGACATGCGACAAGTTGCTTACATCATAGATGCCTCGTACTATTGGTTATATCGTTTTCAGGGGGCGTGCATGGAAACGATATAATCAATACTACTCGGCTTCTATGATGTAACCTATACTTGTTGAGAAAATATTACTTGATTTGTCTCTTACTGCATACAGACTACGTCACGTTGTAAGAAATGACGTCATATTGACAAGTGTATTGCAATCAGTGACTTGTTTTTAACTTGTGTTGGATTTAACTAACGACAAAACAACAGGCAGTAGTAAGTTTTTCCGTAGTTTGATGATTTCTTATTGGTTAAATTTGCAGATAAACTCATTTGTGGTATTTTAAAGAAATTGTAATATGTTGACGGTGCGACCGTTAGAGCGAGCGCAAACTCTATTGTTTTAATTTAGATCAGATCGTCAAACCGAACGTGACATTTGGTGCGTCTAGACTCTGACGTCACATGACGTCGTATGTAAGTTGCAACCAAGAAGAAACCTGAACAGTGCTGAAATTTTAAATGAAGAACGTTTCGTTTACTATTTATCTTCAATATGCATCCATTAAATCAAGTCGAGTAAACTTTTTGTTGAATATTTGCCGTTATTCTCGCGAGAACGCAACTTTGCTAAGTGATGCATTGTGGGTCAAAATTACTGCGTCAAAAAATTCTATCGAATGAATGTGCAGTAGTCCGAATTTTCACTTCGCCCAGGCGTTGTCGTTAGAGCTCGCAGTTCGCTTTGCGACGCTCGCTGCGCTCGCTATGACGTATATTGTGTATGATATCATAGTCAAGTTTTCCCGTACAAATTAGGCTCTGCCTCCTTTTTGTAACCTTAACTGTGCTGCGTTATCATGTCTACCACATATTCACCTACTTTGAAGTTCATAATTGTATAATATTTCATGTATAGCTCTACAAGAATTTAAAACAATTCAAATCGCAGAAATAAGAGTTTCACTCCCTATTTAGACAAGTGTACTCCCTATTATACATGTATCACAGTGATCTATTTTTAAAACAAATGTAAAACGTGTTATCCGTTTAAATTTTTTCACTTTTCCGATTGATTGATTCATATAGATTCATGTAGATTGGTTAATTGTACTTGTATTCGACGTTTCAAAACAAAGAATTTTGTTTTGTATTTGTAAATCTCAAAACGTTAATGCCCTGAAGAGTAGACATGAAATTGTAATATATTCAGAAATGCTGTTTTAAGAACACTCGTTAAGTTAAAACTAATAGTCTTTTTACTTACTCTTGTGTTCATCTGGTGATATAATTTAATAATTCTAACATTTTATTTCAACATATTAATACACAGAGTAGGGAAGGAAATAGAATAAGATTTCAGATTATAACAGGATGTTTGTAACACAAAGTGTAATGCTATAGTATTTGATTTCGTCAAAAAAGGAAGAGAACTGTTTTGTAAGTACAGTGTTATTATATCCCCGACGTTAACAGTTTATATGTGATTAACTCATCCCATCTCTACAATTTCCAGGTGTTTCATGCTCTGTTCACAACAATGCACTGTTTGTAGATTTTCTATGATTGATTGATTGTATGTTGTTTTACGTCCAGTCAATCATTCGTAAAAATCAAAGTTGTGAACAGGGCATGAAACACCTGGAAATTGTAGAGGTGGGATAAGTTGGAAAGAAGGAGTAAGCATTTCATGTTGAATTGTCACATCTGCTACGAGCCTTTTCTATTGAACAGGTAGATGTTTAGGAGATTATTCAATCTTCTTTATTTTACCTTGTCATTTCTATACCTTAATTATTGGAACTAAATTGCAATAAATATATGGTAAAATTAATGGAAATGAAAAGTGTAAAACGTACTGTAACCATACCTTCGGTATTGGACATTTTCAATCAGTTTAAAAGTGTGTTTCCTTTCACTTAAACCTATGTTAGGCCCCACGGTTTAATTCGGTGTGTTAAGCGTTTTTCATTAGAGGATGGAAATCCTGATAGAGAAGACTTGGTATACTAAAATTATATCCGTGTAATTGCTTAGCTTTATCATTGGATGTTGGCTGTAAAAGTGAACTCGGGCAGAGGAAGTTTTGAGTGGAACCTCTCTTTTCCAAATAAGGAGAGTTTTTACTACAATTGTCTATTATAAGTCATCTCGATGGGTAAATTGGAGATTAATTACAGTCCGTTATTTTCATAATTCACAGTAACAAGTGAAATGACAATGCCTGCTAACTATGCCAATTTATTAATAGACATGTTGTCATGTGAAACTGAAAGGCATAAATTACAGTTGTTATAGTAAATTAGTCCTAGTTTCTTGTGGGTTTTTTTTTTCAAAGTAAAAAAAAACCCTCATATTTCATTTAATGAAGTCTTTATGAAATTAATTTCCCTTTACAAAAGAACGTTACAAACCAGAAAGTTGAGATCTAATCACGCTGAGATAAAACGGATAGAGATAATTAAAAAAGCACTTATGACAAGCTCCCGTTGTGTGACACACGGATGATGAATTATATTTTATAAGAACATATATCCACATTAAAAACTCAATACTTTGAATGTTATCAAGAAAGTCTTTATTTTCAACATAAAGCATTATTATTTATTCCACAGATCTCCAAAAATATTTAAATTTCAAAAATGTCACAAAAAGGTGTTGCACTTCTAACAATTTAAGCATCATTGAAATTGGGCATAATGTTTTTGTTAATGCAATGAAACATAAAGATAACGAGCAGTATTCAAGATCAAAAGTCTATAAAACAATACAAAATAAGAAAAGAGCAAACACGGACCTCCAAAACATCAGAGCTGGGATCAGGTGCCATGGAGGAGTGAGCATCCCCTGCCGACCGGTCACATCCGCCGTGTGCTCGGGAAATAATGGGAAAATCCGTCGTCAATTCAGTGTATAAAGAATGGACTAACACTTAGTATAAAAACGTCAGCCAACATTTGACTCAATGATAAATTGTTTTTGCTGACATGGTCATTGTATCGACCATACAACTGACAAAATGATGACTTTAAACGAGACTGCCAATATTCTTGTTTCATCAACTTGCTTGTCAATAATTTACCTCGTTTTAGAAATTGTCCATACGTAGAGCATGCTCTTGCGTATCGAATCAACCGAGATGTATATACTACGTATGCAGGTGATGAAGGTATATTGCTGCATAAGTAAGGGAAGTTGACGGAAAAGTTAAAGTCAAGTTTATCATAGTTTTGTTTTATTCTTTCAACTTGTTTGTCAATAATTTATCTCGTTTTAGAAATTGTTCATATATAGAGCATCAGATGTGTAAGACACTGTTGTATCTTTTATCTCAAGCTCACCAGGATACATGTATATCGTATCGACATAGGAATGGAAATTACAATTGTTAATTGAAATACGTCGTCGGTTAATCTAAATGTCGAGTTAAAGACACAGCAAGTGTTTTCTTCTTTTCACGCATAAGGCTTTGCACAAATTCTGCTTCATATGAATACAAAAATAAGTCTGCTTATAACGGGCCTAATTGGTACCCATGGGAACTCCATAGATTGTTGGAAGACCTGGTCTCCAAAATCAGCACATACCGGGTATATTGTCAATCAGAAATCAAGCATCTTTTTGATGTCGACTTCAGAGTACTTAAGTGTACAATCAGAATGCTTTTTAACAAAATTATGATTTTGAAAATGACCAATGACAATGTAAGTGAATTTACGAGTTCCATTTTTATTAAAAAAGCAGCAGTCAATCATCTGAAAAAGCCTGGACTTTAATTCATCGTGGGGAATGGTTGTGTATAAAGTTGAAAAGTCGTAAGTTTTTAAGCTGTTGATTTTGGTAAAATCATGTGATTTCAAATTTTCCATAAGTTCTTTGGAAATTTTAAGTATCCACAACTGATTTGCACCACTTCTTGAATATATTGTTGCACAGTTGGAGTAAAGAAAGAGGGTGGGTTGAGCATTAACGGAACCTGCTATGTATCTTTGTTTGTAAGGATTCTTATAAAGTTTCAGCATCCAATATATACTAAGTATATTGTAGTTGAAAATCATTTTGGTTCTTTGGGATATTAAAAATATTCCAAACTGACATATGATTTTGAAGATTATTTCCTTAAAAAGGGGAGTAAGAGTATAAGTTGGATTACCACTTTTAGAATCAAATCCAAGTTCTTCTAAAATACAATTCATATTCTAAGCCTTACAAACGAAGACAATGTTGTTACTTGCTTTGTCGGCAGGGACCAGTCCGTACTGATCATGTTATCTATCTAGCTCTTTTTGCACTTCTGGGTTATGAAATACAGAAGGGTTGATGGTTTTCTTATTGCCCCTCAATCTTATTGATTATAAAGTTGAAAAACAACAACAACATATAAGAAGAATTGATATTGTACTTTTTATAATTAATGAATTGATTTAAATTACCTACCCTCTTTAATCACGTCAATGTAGGAATTGATGGATACTGAATCTGATGTAAATTTTTCTTCATATACAGTTCGATGATAATATCATTTTCATTTGGTTGGTGACACATTATTCTGAAAACTGAATTGTCCACCGGGTGTTCTGTTTACCCAGTCATAATAAGGATCACACGGTATGACCAATCTACACAGAATGTTTACTTCTTCGTAGCACCTAATCCTATCTTTGATGTTTTAAATGATCTGTTTTTGTTCTGCTTTCAATTTCATTATTCCAACTGTTCGTTGTCTGTATTATATTTGAATTTCTCTGATTTCCTGCAGGAATCGTTCAAGATCGTGTTGGCTACGTAGACAGATGGTTTAAAGATAAGGATTGAACTATTTTTTGTACATAAAGCAATCAATTCTTCCAATCTTTTCCTTTACCAAAATTACTTCGAAGTTAAGGAGAAACTTTCTCTGTTACAGCAAATTTTAGAAGTGGTGTATAAAGAACCTTTAATCTCAAAGGATAGAAAATTTTCAAATGTCCATACAATGTAACATCAAAATGGTTTTAAAATTATGACTTTCTTCAAATATCGGGTTCCCTGAACTTCTCTTACATTTTATCTAGCATCTTAATCATCTTTTGGAAGATGAAAGCTATACATCTCTAATACCTCAAAAATTTTTAATGCTGGACCAATTTGCCAATCACAAAATGTCTAGTAATAAATATGGATTTTTTTTTTTTAATTTGACTACTATCTATTTGCATTTTACAATTAATGCTCAATTGAAAACAAACTATATTTAAACAATAAGATTTTATTGATAGAAGATGAACTATTGTGTATTCACAATATTAAAAAAATAAAGATATTTTCTGGCATTAAAAAAAATCATCTTCTACCACAATCTCTCAGGCACGCTCCATACTCATTCTGACAACCAATGATGCAGTTGGTTTTTACCCAAAAAGGTGTTCTATCGTTACATGGCGCTTTGCAGGATACATAGGCCGTTCTGCAATTACACCTACAACATCCCTCACAAGAATGCCAAGCCAGAAAAATCACCATAGCCAGAAAAATGAATCTCATTCTGGAGTTTCTGAAAAACAATCCTATATTTATTTTATCTACAAATACCGTATTATTTGAAACGATGTGGACTTTTTTTGCAAGCATTCCATTTTTCATTTCAATACATCAGAGGAAGTATATCATTTTGAAATAAAACGCGATCTTTCGTCAAGTACAATGTGATTTGAAATCTAAAATCTATAAAATTACAATAACGCACTAAGGGCATGGACGTATACCGGTATTATGTTTCATCACATACAGCGCGCCTTTGTAATGCCGTTCCTTTCTTGAATTTATTAAGTTTTTCAGTATCTTAATATTTAATAATATAATAATTAAAAATTAACAATAATTAATAGGAAGATATTTTTTAAGTTTATATATAAGAAGCATTGATTTTTTTTTTGATTTTTTATATAACTACGTACTGACTGTATGCCGTCAATAAATTTAAAAGTGAATTGAATTACTGAAATAATCACTAACCTTTTTTTAAATCACGTCAATGTAAGAATTGATAGATGCTGAATCTGCTATGAATTCTTCTTTATATGCAGTTTGATGATATTTATCATACGTAATTTTGTTCGAGACATATTGTGGAATACAAAACCAAAATATAGCAATGATGTATGAACAATGTTAGAATATTCCATAACCTCACAGTTTGCCACGTTATGAAATGGATTGTATTATTAAAAAATACAAGTATTAACGCATGTATTTATGTCAAAGAAGATTCGGTTTTGTACAATCTATTATTTTATTATAATTAAAATTTGCAGCATAAATTTTAATTCATACCTAGATTGGTACGGTGTTTACTACAACTTCACTCAATGCGCAGAAGCACGGACAATTTTTAAAACGAAGCCCGCTCATAGAGGAATTGGTGATTTAAGGAAATTCCAGCAACCCTGTTTAAAGTCAACCTTTTGCGAATATTATGGTTGATAATACAGTGATCTTTTCTGCGAATATAACGTTTCCATTGTGAACTTTCCTTTCTCGTGTAGATACACGTTCAGCTCTCACCTGCATCTGGTGTTAATGACTTCTAACTTATTCGCTTCTCAAGCATGTCAAGGGTGTGCTCTATACTCAATTTTTAATCTGACATAGGCTGCTCACACATAAGTTGATGTGGTGGAGATTTCAATAACTTTGGTTAAAGTCAGCATTTCTTAAATTCGAATTCTATGTCCGTGATCAAAGGGGCTTGCTCCAAGGGCGTAATATTTTTTTTTAATTTAAAAAAAAATCATATACGGTTATAATACGTTGTTTTGTTGTATGATTTTTTACAATAAATAATTATTACACGCCGGGAGCAAGCCCCTGTGCCGTGATTAAGCATCGTCGGAAACCCACGGCTGATTACGCCTTGTTCTTTTCTCCATTTCTCAAGTTCAAGTTCAAGTTCATTTATTCACTCAACACCATTTTAATACATGGTACATGAGGACAAAGAGAAATA